TCTTATATTATTAACTATAATAATGATAATGTTTTATAAATCTATAATTTAATATAAAAATATTTAGCTAATTTATAATATTACTTTAATATGCATATTAAAGATGAAATTTATTAATAAATACAAAGAAACATATTTTATGAATTTATTAACATTGTTGCTCACTTTTCCAAAATCTATTTTTCGAAGTCATGATACCAACAATTCATTTTACTAATAGAACAGAAATAAATCTGTATCATTTCACTGAATTGACAAGTTTATTTCATTGATAGTTTAATTAACTGGCAGTCATTTTATTAACAAAGTAATTCTGACTATTGTCATTAGATCAGATTTAGAATTATTGTACAATTTTTAAAAAAACCAGTCAGTAAAATGAGCTGTCAGTAAAATAATTGTTAGTAAAATAAACTTATCAGTTATTTAAATTTCAGTAAAATAACACAAACCTATTTCTGTCCCAATAGTAAATGAATTTTCAATATTATAATTTCAGTGAAATAGTGTTTCAGAAAAATAGATTTTAGGAAGTTAAACTGGAACCTTTATTAAAAGTTTTAAGAAGTTTCATTTTTTAATATACTTGCCCTTATATTTTCGCCTCTCAATAGTTGTAATGATAGAGAAATATTGATAAAACTATAATATTGTAAATAATTTAGGAATTAAACAAAATAAAATAATATATAAATAACTGCTTTTTGGTTTTTAATAAAAATTTTAAAATTTAATAATATTATTAGACTTGAAGCAAGCTTACATTCATAATTAAGCATTTGATTTTTATAATTAACGTTCTATGACTTATAATTAGTTCTTATTGCAATTTTACAATTATATCTATTTTACAAACCTGTTATAATCTATAGAATTATTTACTGATTTAGTATAGTCAAAGATAATATAATTGATTAATCGAATATTAATCTTGATGGTTAGTTTTCAATAAGTCTTGATCTAAGAATATTGTTAATATGTAAATTTTTAAATATACCTATATTGTAATATTTTATAGATACAAATAACTTCTCAAAACAAAGAACATGTACATGATGTAGAGTAGAGAAGTTAATTGTTGAATTTATAAGATCTCATAGTTCAAAAAAAGGTCTATTTGATACATACAATCATTGCTCCGAACAAAAAAAAACAAAGTTCAATTAGTAAAAATTCAAATAATAAAAATATAGTACAAAAGTTAACTAATTTATCACCTAAAGATAATCTTAGCTCAAACATTCTAATGGAAGATGATATTCTTATCTATGAGATGGGTGATCTTGAAGAACTTGTGGCTGCACATTTTCTAAATGATGAAAAAAATGAACATATAGAATTTTTAGCTATTATTGAATTAAGTGATGAATTTACTGAAGAAGCCTTATCAAAAGAAGTAAAGTTAAATAATGCCGATAGCCAAAGTTTTCACTTTATAATAGATACTTTGATTATTTTAATTGAAGCAGTGTCACAATACTACTAGGAATTAAAAAATTTTTATATAAATAAAAAGAATAACCAACCTTATAGATGTGCTATAGCTTACTTATTTTGCTCTCAAAGAATTGATCATTAGCATAAATGTCCTGATGATCAATCTCCAAAGAGAATTAGTGAATTATGGCCAGCTATTGAGCGATTTCTCTGTAATGAAAATATTATAATAAAAATTAATATTTCTTTAAAACAAGTTATATTAATATTTTCACATTTAGTAACTTATGAACAACCAACTTATCATACAATTAAGCTGCCTCAGGAGGCAATTAGTTGGATTAAATTAAATCAAAATAATGGTTTTTGTATAACCGAATTTCATAAAAGACTTTCCAAAGAGAAGTTAATAGATCCTACAATTCACACTTATCATCAAATATATTATTAGATTCTTAAACTTTCTGCTAGTCAGTATGTATCAAATATAACAAATTAAGTTATTTCAACAAAAGACTATATGCAACGACAGGAATTAATTAATCAGGGTTATAAATTAATCTTTCACCTTGAAAACAATTTTGTGAGAGCACTCAGATTTATTATACCATTTTTAAATGAAATTTTAAAAAAAATATTAGTGAACTTATACTTGATTCCATATTTAAAGCAAATAAAGAAAAATTCAAGTTATTTGCTTTAATAATTAATTGTAAAGGATTCAGAATACTGCTTGCTTACTTATACCTTGATACATTTACTGCATCAACAGATTATCTTCAAGACCCTATAAATAATATTAATAGTCAAACCCAAGTTCTTATAAAATTCTTTCAACTTGCTAGAAAAGAAGGTATCTTACTTTTTTTTATTCTTCTTGACAAAGATATGGGTCAAATTGCAGCAGTGAAAGAAGCGTGGTCACAAAAAGTAAATATCCAATTATGTCTTTGGCATGTTGAACGTGCTATTGAATAGAAATTGAAAGAAAAAAAATATAGAAACTCAAATTACTCAAGTCAAAAGGCGGAGGAGGCAAATAAACAATTTTTCTTTATTAATCCAAATTGGTATCCCACCAGAAAGTAGAGTCCAATATACTTAATAGAAAATATAAAAAATATAAAAAAAATGATAAAAAAACATTTATTATAGTAAGGGTATGGTGACTTAGTAAAGTGGTGAAGTTGTCGCACCCCCAAACAGCACGTTCAGAGTTCGAATCCCACTGTTGACGAAATTTGAATATTCTGTTGTAGTACAGTTACTGTTTCTCATTGATTAGTTGGATTTATAATCTGTAATCAAGGTCGTACCAGATCTCTAGAAGGATTATCAGATTTTGATAAACTATATGAAACTATAGAACCAGAGAGATGGATACCCGCTTGGCAAGACCCGAGTGGAGAGGTAGTACAAACTTTCGATGGTACTATGTAAAGGAGTATTATTAAGAAAAACCAGAAAACTGAACAGAACCGAGATATATAGCAAAAGCATCCCACAAACTAGGCCACCAGGGCTGGAAGAAAAGAATCTGCTTAATTTGCGGTTACCAGGAGATCAGTAACTTTCGAGTAAAAGTTTCTTCCGGGCCATCTGGATTGGTAGTTCGGACTAGCTGGATCAAACCGAGAAACTAAATGGACGAAGTGTTTGAGGAGGCACTTCTACCAACCAGGCTACCAGAACTGAAAAAAAAGGATCTGCTTAATTGCAAATACCAGAGGACCGATAACTTTCAAGTGAAAGTCCCTCCTAGGTCATCTGAATTGGTAGTTTGGAATTCGGGAAGTACTTCTAATAGTTTGTAAAGTGGCTACTGGAGTTTGGGTAAACTCTACAAGGGCAGAAGTAGGTAATAGTAGCAGCTTTAGCTCGCAAGTACTTGTTCTCGGACTCGGCATAAGTTACCAAAGTCTAAGTTGGCTGGATTGTGAGTACAGAAAGCTCTAGCAAGTTTACTTCAAGAACAAAGGGCTCACTGGTTGAGCCTGCTTTAAAGTTCTAAGTTGGGGTTCTTAAGGGTATACTCTAATTCGGTTATATGAAAAGGTTGACCCACATACGGTGCAGAGGGTTTAAATAGGTAACCCCCTAGTTGGGTTGCAGGTATATCATCTAGTGTAGAACTTAGTAATAAGCAGACTACTTAAATAGGCAACAAAAAGTTGTACGTGTGGCTAGTATGTATCTTACAAAAATATGTATACTATACGGGCATCGAAAGAGACTTAGCGTACGGTAAAGTTAATCAATAACTAAATAAAGAAACCTGACCAAGAGGTCACCTTAATATTAAAAAAATATATATATATTCATTATAGTATTCACTAATACCAGTAAATACAAATATGTTCCTTATCTCTGATAATATATATTATCAAAGCATATTAGAAGTTTATCAATATTGCTGACAAAAAAATCTTGTCTATCTATGGGCCTACTTATAGGAGAATTGGTATTAAAAAAAATATTGGAAACTCCTTGCCCAGTTATCATATCCAAAAGCTATACCAATAGTGAGAACTACTATGATTATAGAATCACATTGGTGAGTCCTTAAGCATAATTACAAATATAACTATAATGACCTCACCTTGATCACTTAAACTATATAATTACAAACAAGTTAGTTCTGAATATTATGGATACCTGGCAAAGGGATAATAATAACCATTCACTTCCACAGTGACAAACTAATTTTAAAGATATTTGGAGAATAGGTCTTGAAAAAAGATTGAATGTCTAGAAAATTATTATACTGATATTGATAAGTAGGTCTGTTTCTGCTCATCTTTTATAAATAGCCTATATTTAATCTGCAAACACTTAATTCAAACTTATTCTAAAAACTATCAAAATTTCTTTCCACAATTTAAAAATACTGTTTGTTGACATGATTATACCTTTGTGTACTTTGGAAATAAAAAATCTTCAAGAATTCAGTTATTCAATAATCTCTGAAATGATATTTCTCAAAATTACATAAGCAAATCAAATACTATACCTGAAATATCTAATGAAAATAGATCAAATATTCAAGCTCGATTTGATACTATTGAAAAGCGAAAGCCTGAGCTAGCATTAGATAAAAAGACTTTTGAGTCTTTAATATTAATTGTTGAACAAAATATTGAAAATGATCATTTTTATAATGAATATAGAAAGCTCAGACAAAGCTTAATTGAAGAAACCTTAGCATATAATGAAGCTTTAAATGCCCGAATACAATAGTGAACTTGGAAACTACCAAAAAAACTGGAAAATAGCATTCTGGTTAAATTAACGTGTATGTACAGTAATTATAATTAATAAAATAAAAAAAACTTTATCATTTTTTTGATTTTGCAAGTTATTACAGTTACAATTATTATTATCATTAGTTACAATTATCATTATCATTTTATTCATTTTATAATAAAAATTTGGCTAATAAAATTCTTTTATGCATGATGATCTTCACGTGACTGCTGATTTTTTATAGCACCACTAAGTCACTAAAGATGAAGCGATATTAGGTATTAGCAATTAATGATCATAATGATTCTCTGGTAAATAGCTCAGAGTAAAAGCGGTAGACTAGTTCTAGATATCAACAATTGTTGGCTGGATAGTGATTTACTTATACTTGAAAAAGACAAAGCTTCATCTAATGAATCATCTAATGTATGCTCTCTTTGTGAATTGATATTTTTGGATATATAAGAACGAGATAGTGGATCAACTTTATATACATCTAAATTATTCAAATTAGTATGATTGAATACTACAAAAATACTATAACAATAATATTATACCATCTTTATTTACCAAACTAGACTCTTCATTTACTTTTTTCTTTTCACTTTAGTATATTTTGAGCTTTTTTTCTTTTACTATTTGTAATTTCAGTATGTGTATCTTGTGACTCATAATTTTTAATTAAATTATTTGCTTCAATAGGTCTCAAAGGAGATTTAAAAACTAATAATTACATTAAAAAAAATTATTAATAGAATAAAATATTCTAATAACCAAGAAAAGTTTATCACTTACCAGTATATACTTTATTATTATTTTTTCGAGTTCTAGCCATAATGAGCCTAATATAAATTTACAAACATCTAATTAGACATTACTAATTTATATTTCTCTTTTTAATTTTATTCAGAACTATTATTACCTTTAATGTTAGTATATTTTGTATCTTGTTAATTATTGAAAGAAAAATTGAACCTTTAATCAATTTTCTTTGTATTTATTTTTGCTATACTCATTACATATTTTTTACAATATGTTATCATTACTAATATAGAAATCACATTTATTTTTTGAAAGATTTGCATGAATTATATGAATTACATTATTATTCTGAGCTCTAGACTAATATATAGCTATTAAATTGTTCAACATTTTATTTTGACTTATTAATCAATTTTCTTTGTATTTATTTTTGCTACGCCTATTATATATTTTTTACAATATATTATCATTACTAATATAGAAATTATATTTATTTTTTGCATGAATTATGTGAATTATATTATTATTTTAAGCTTTAGGCTAACATATAGCCATTAAATTGTTTAACATTTTACTTTGACTTATTAATTATATTTTTATTATTAGCATTAGAAGTTGAATCCTCTAGAAAAAAATTGTCAATTAATCATTTAACCATCATAGTACCTAAACTATTAGGTAAATTATATGATCTTAAATTTTAGCAATGATTTTTCACCTTTCAATAATACGTCATATGCATAATTTATATAACAAAATGGTCATATAATCTTCAAAAAATCATGTTGGGTAAACTTTGTAGAGTATCAGTAAACTTCTTACTTACTTATTATTTTGAGTTTTAGTTGTTCTTTAAGCATTAGGACAGTATTAGCATTAGACATATATTCAATGAATTTGAAATAGATTAGACATATAAAACTTCAAATATACAATCATTTTCAAAATTATTGAACATATGTCCAATACCAACACTGTGTTAGAGATCTTTGATCCTATTAGTTATCTTAGGATCATGTATTTTGTTGCTGCTTTAAACCTTTTTAATCACTAGTTAATTATTCTATTTAGGACTTTTACTAATCATTCTCCTAAGCATTTTTCTACTATCAATTGCTCTTAGATTTTATCGAGTAAGTTTCTTTTTATTTGCCAATTTTAAGACCTTGCCACCTTACTACAATTCTTTTTACTTCTTTTTTCTCAATGCAAAGCTTCAATTTACTACTTTAATCTACTATTCTGAATCTGAACTTCTTGGTTGTATTCTATCTTCGACTTAATCATATACATTAGCCTCTTGATTGTCTGGGTTCAGGAGATGATGTATATTTATTTAATTTCAGCATGATCAAAGTTGTATATATCAATCAGGTACATTGATTATACTTTGTTTAGTTATAGTCTCTTAAACATGAATTTTTGGTCACAATTTATAGGACAATATTCATTTGATTAACCAATATAAATCTAATCAATTGCCCAGGTAACTTAATTATAAATTTTAAAGCACTTTTTAAAAATATAATATTTTACTAACAAAAAAAATGTTGAAAAACTACTTCTTAGTTCTAAACAAATATAAATATTTATATTAAACAAATTCAAAATAATTCAAAACTCTAACATAACTTAGAAGCCAATATTGTTGCTATTTATTGCTTGCACTAGCCATATTGACTATATATAAACTCTAAATACCAAAACTATAAACAATAAAATTGATTTTTCATTTTGCATTCAAAATCTCAGGTTGGTTTGGTCAGATTTTTTTTTTAATCTACAGTAAATTAATAAATCATGTTCACATTTAAGGCTATGCAAAAATTAATTTTTTGTTTTGTATAACATTGAATCAGAAAATTTGGTTAGTGATCAAAATTTTTTTTTATCAGTTTTATTGGATAACTTCATGAAAATAAATAAATATACATCATCTCCTGAACCC